TTCGGTGTTTGTAACGGAGAGACATAGGGTGGTTCAGAGAGGGTGTTTGGTTGTTTTTGTTTTTTTTTTTGTGGGGAGTGTTTTCTAAATCCTTGTTTGTCGGAAATGGGTAGATATATATTTAGGGTTGGCATTGAGCTTGATACTACACCATGGAGTAAAATCCAGAAGACAATAACACTTAAATCTAGACACTATTGTCAATATCCAGTACTATCTTAGTATGAAAATACTACATTCATTCCTCAAAAGAAGTAACCCAGTAAGATATTCTCAAGATCACTGTTCCCAAAGTTAGCCCTTGATAATCGTACCCGAACAACCCCAAGACCAAAAGAAGCACAACAGACATTGAATCAGACAAATCTAGTAAATCATACACACACTGCACTTAAGCCCTGCAGCAGAGTCATTTCGGCGAGTGAATATGTATCATCATTGGTACGCCGGCGAATGTATCCAAAGTCCAAGGAAAAGACAGGTCTTACCTTCACATGGGCAGCTGACGTAGACTATAACTGCGTATGGGATGAGATGCTCGAGGAACTGGTTGAGGGAGACATTGTCGATTTATCCCCGAGGCGTCAGTTCACCTGGTACAAGTAGAGATACGGGCATTGAGTGGTGTTGAGTCAGAGTGCGTCGGATACGAATTGCATGGTATACATTGACTCATGTTTAATCGGATAGTGGGTATATGGGGTAGTGTTTGAGGGCTTTGTGTCTTTAGTGGAATGTATTAATCAACGTAATGTGGAGGTTACAATTTAGATTGGGTTGTACTTTGTAGTCAGGACTCAGGACATCTATATTGCCAATGGAGTAGTTATGGTTGTATTGACCGATACCATTTAATTTATAAATACTTTGTACTAGAATCTGGAGGATTATGTTAGGTGTGGTGGATGTGAATAGGGAAGCTCTACCAAGGTGCTGGAGTATCTCTAACCCCGATGCCTACTTGGATAACTAACAGGTTGCTGGCTTGCTTTACCCCGAACGCGCCAGTCATACTCCCTAGACACTTAAATAGCAAGCAGTACAGTTTCTCTTGACCCCCGATGGTCTAGTTGGGCTGTGATGGAAATCCTTATAACCAACAGGTCGCCGGCTATTCCGGCTCGGGGACGAGTCATTCCTTTTTTGCTCTGCCCTAAACCCGTCATTACGCCCTTTAATAAGTTTAATTAATAGCGTTTCCTTCCCTTTACATAGTCTAATAGGACCTTAACGTTGCTAGCACGAGACAAACATACAGAAATCAGGGAAATAACGGAAGAAAACGAAAGAACACAAATCAAAGAGATGAGACCAACAGACACATGTCCACGAAACGTCAAATTACGAGAATTCATAATACATAGGGCTGTTATTGTCTTGTCTCCTATTTCGATTACTATTAAATAACCGTCAGACAAATATCATCCTTTTCCTGGATTAGTCTTAGTATACCGTCGGTCCCACTTGAAGTCAACGATTTCACTCACTTGACTCACATTATACGAACTCCGAGTCATATTATATATCGATAGTGGGGGAGCTTGTACACACTTGTCTCTAGAAGAGCTTGGGTGTTCCACTGACCGTTCCACGACATATCTACCCATTTGCTTATGACCTAACAGGCTTGAATGTACTTTCTCCTGACCAGCATAGCTAGCTGAAGTTGATCTGAGCAGATGGGAAGCCCTATCGTCCATACCCAACGACTATCTGCACTAGATGAATCAGATGCATAACAACATATTTATCTACCCATAGGAGTCACAAGCGAACAAGAACGCTTGGCCAGTGGTAACGCTAAATCAGCCCGACATAGACCTAATGTGGCACACTGCATATCCCAGCTCAGCTCTGGTGCCTCAGTTGATGATTAGAGGCTGCTTGGAAGACCGCGGGATCATCCCCGGGTAACACGACATTCGCCTTGGGTCTAGATGGAAGGCAATGACCAGCCTGTCGCACAGGAGGCGTATACCACAGAGATATGGGACATTCCGGGGGCTATCCAAGTCAAACAGAATTTGATAAAGCTATACGGTACTGGCTGTATCTACTCCACCTGCGCTTACTGCTAAACTCATCACTCCTATGGATATTCTAGCATCTTTTTTATTTTCCATTTACCCCGCCTTAAGTACTTAGGATATGCATGTCGCCGACTACCCTTGCAACCCCAACCCAATACTTAGTATTCTTGTATGCAGCGTGCCAGCAGTGACTGGAACCCAGGCTAGACACGTCATGCCTCGTATACGTATCCTTGCATTTCTCCTCCTTTCCAGGGATGTAAATTCAAATACATAGTCAGTATCCCCCCTTAGATTTCCTCAACGCTTGCCTCTGACGTTGCTAGTTATCTGTAGGATCACTGTCATCGATCCACACCGACAACGGCACCGTCAAAGAAAAACTCCCGCAAGAAGAGCGGTGTTCAAAAGGTCCTGGGTCTGCCTAAGTACTCGGTCATTGATTACAACCCGCCAGAGTTATCGTAAGGACTGTAGTGTGTACGAACGTCCTATCACAACACTTTGCATTGGACGGAAGGAGTATCCTACCTTAAAGGGCTATCTCAGTGATTGTTATCCTCGACTGCAAAGCAACTCTAGTTTCCGTCCGAGAAGTAAGTACCCTTTCGCATATCGACGAGGACATTGGACATACCATTGTCCACTTTTCATATACGGGGAAGTATGAAACTCTTCAGCCGACTCCGACCCCGGGGATACAAGATTTGTCAAGAGAATTTCGAAGGAGTATCCAAGGGTACCGTGCTGCCATGGCCTGTGGGATATATGGTCTCGAAATAATTGCTAGGAAGTATACCCGAATTCCCGGCGAGTCAATTCCCATTGTCGATGTGCTGGAGGCCGCCCGAATGATCCTTTCAAAAGCTCCCAGATAACAGAGACTGGTTGCGTGACTATATCTACACAAAGCTTAAGAAACCGTTTGTGCTCGATGAAGCGATATTTATATGTGATGGGATTCACCGGGGAGTTGGGGAGGATCGCCCCTTTGATATCGAGTTGATGAGGATGATGGCTGGGATCTACATGGAGGCCATATCCTCGCTTCGTTTTGAAGTTCAGAGAAGCCAAAACAAACAGATAATCTCACAGGAAGGTAACTAAATCAAATGCTCCAGAGATAGCTATTAGAGTAAGCCGCTAACTGAGTGAAACCCTACAGTTGAGCCTTTAGCTGACTACCCTGTCCCTGAAGAACAGCCCCCTGAACCAGACTATCCCATTCAAGAAGAGGCGTGGCCCGAGCCAGAATGTCCCGCTCCTGAAGACCAGCCTTTCAATAAGAAGGTATCTGAACCTAGTGCCTCTATCACGGTGTTCCCCGACGACATCTGTCTCTATGTTAACTGGACAAACTTGGGGATAGAAGAAAGGAGGCGAAGAGAGATAATTCCTAAACAGAAAAACCTTCCAGTTCCACACCGTGGTGGTACCTTTTCTTGACGATTGGGTTCTGTTCTTTTGCTTTCTGCTAAGTATTCTTTTTTCTTTTCTTTTCTTGGTTCAATTTTTTCGGGCAGGTGCTCGTTTAATGCTGAATGTAGATGGTGATGTATGAAATTTGTTGCAGTAAAAGACAGCTATTCTATTAATATATATAGATCTGGTTTCTTAACAAGGTAGTTAAAAAGTGTATCAAGTATCGGACAAGTAATACTTGGGAGCCGGCCGGTATAAACTGGGGGAGATCTGGCGGTATCGAATAGCTGTATATTCTTGTAAATATTTGTGATCCAATACTGCCTATAATTCACAATTTTGGCTATTTCCGATATAGTCAACTTCTCTTTACTGTTAATTATATAAATGATAAGTTCGCACTGCCAGAGCTTAATATTTTGTGCCATTATGTGGTACACGGCATGCTAATTCTGCCTGATTTGGGAGTCATTATACATTATAGTACAGCTTTCTTAGATACATATTTCTTTCAGTATTATACTGCCCATCACCAGCATAGAAAGATAATACAAGGCTGGCTGTAGACAGCCTAGTAGATCTTGGTAGTTAGGGTTGGAAAAAGAGCGTGTATGTGTGAGATTCCTCTGCCAGGGTGCGGCTATGTAGCCCCATAAAGTGAACTTTTGCTACCTGCTAGAGGTGGACTGTTATGCTGACAGCCCGTAATCTTTCTATAATCACTATCATCCTTGAAGGTATTGGACTCTGCGAAGAAGATGCAACTACTACTTCACGTTATCTACAGGGCCCGTGTAGAAATGGAATCAAGTATCAGGAAGCTAGATTACGCAAGGGATGCTGGTGCTACAGAATGTATAAGCAGAGTTAATTTGTCCAGCCATACAGTAGCAGCCTTATGTCAATGGTAGAGTTCTTTAGTCAAGGAAAACACCCAACATGCATGCAATTTTATGCCTTCACTCGATTGAGGCCCGATGGACGTGTCCCAGTTGGAATCTTAACCTCACACCCCATTGTACTCCCTGTTCTCCTAACACCTGCCGGTAGGGTTCTTCAAGAGGATGATGATATCGAAGTGAAGTAAGGTAGAAAAAGCGTTAATATGGAGAGCTACCCCTGCTCGATCGGGCAGCATACCGCCAACGAACAGTTTCTCAAATTCTGCTCCTGCTGCAGGTGTCTGCACCGCCAACTGGCCCCTAGCCAATTGGTCTGGCTTGCGGACCAAGTTCTGCACGTCGCAGAAAAAGAAGAAAGCAGTGTGTAATACATCGCTGATTCGTCTCGTCAAGCTGGTCTATCACATTAATCACATACGTGTGTGCAATACCCCGCCTACAGCGCGATGCATGGTGGAAGAAGCATTCCAGCTACTACCTTAACCCCACCATGCAGACCTCAGTCCTGGAGTATTGATCTACTGTCGTGTCGCTATCTCTGTCTCTACCTGTGGTGAAACGCATAGTTCATAAAGGGGTGCTGTTTCCTCTGTTTAATCCTTCATTCCTTTCCCAACGACGCTGAATTCTGACAAATAAAGCAACAATGTCGGATTCCGGCCCCAAACCGCTCGCTATCATCGGGTTCGCTGCCAAATTCTCCCAGGAGGCGACCAATGTGGAGAATTTCTGGGAATTCCTTCTCAAGGCGCGTCAGTCTATGACTGCGTTTCCGAAGGATAGACTGAATCTCGATGGTTACTATCATCCAGATCCAGAGCATGCTGGAACGGTTCGTGAGCCCGATTCCTCCACGAAGAAAGCACAGTCATCCTAACTTTAGAGATCAGATCCATGCGAAAGGTGCACATTTCCTGGCAGAGGACCCAAACGCGTTTGATGCGGCGTTTTTCAATGTGAACAAAACCGAGGTTGCAAGCCTCGACCCTCAGCAGCGACTGGTGATGGAAAATGTGTATCATGCACTTGAGAATGGTACGTCTGTTTGACCCAGGGGTAAATATTTGCGCCAGATGCTAATATCCAATGACTACTTGCTTTCAGCTGGTATCCCAATGGATAAGGCTGTGTCGTCTAATACATCCGTCTTCGTTAGTGGGTTCAACCACGACCACAGGGATCGGTTGAACACCGACCCCGATATCGCTTTGAAACATCGGCCCACGGGATCGGAAAGCTCCATGATATCTGGGAGAGTGAGCTGGTTCTATGATTTTAGAGGCCCGAGCTTGACGGTCGATACTGCATGCTCGAGCTCAATGGTTGCCTTTCATCTGGCGAACCAAAGCGTCCTAACTGGGGACAGTGATATGGTACGACTTGCTTGCGTTTGATTATTCCCACTACCAGTATCTTCTTCCTACCGACTCATGTCCATCACTGTCTTTCTTTCGCATTCTCTACTTCTACTTGCCAGCATGGAACATCACTGATGTCGGGCTACTAGGCAATTGTCAGCGGAGTAAACGTCTTCGGTGCCCTGAACCATATCCAAGGAATGAGCTATTCAGGATTCCTCAGCCCTGACGGAAAGTGTTTCACATTCGACCATCGAGCGAACGGATATTCCAGAGGAGAGGGAGTTGGTACCGTGATCGTGAAGTCACTGGACAAAGCTCTTGCTGACGGCGACACAATCAGGGCCGTAATTCGCGCCACGGCCTTGAACCACGATGGCCGCACCCCCGGTCTAACCTACCCCAGCGGCGATGCCCAAGAGCGCCTCATCCGGAGTATATACGCATCTGCCAGGTTGGACCCTGCCGAGACTCTCTACGTCGAGTCCCACGGCACCGGCACGACTGCCGGTGATCCCATTGAAGTACGCTCCATCGTTCAGGCTTTTGGCTCCGTCGACCGCGCGCAGCCGATCTACGTCGGAGCGTTGAAACCCAACATTGGCCATGTTGAAGGAGGATCGGGGATATCGGGGATTATCAAAGCAATCTTGATCCTGGAGTCTGGTGTCATTCCGCCGAATGTTAACTTCGAGAAGGTTAACCCCCACATTCATATGGATGAGTGGAAGGTCCGTTTTCCAACGGAGGTTCTGCCGTGGCCTGCGTCTGGTCCTCGACGTGTGTCAGTGAATTGTTTCGGGTTGAGTGGAACCAATGCTCACTGTATTCTGGACGATGCATACCATTTTCTCCAGAGTCAAGCTCTGACTGGGAACCATAACACGCGGCCAGCTACGCCTACAATCGAGGAGGTCACTCGGTTGGTAAATTCACGAGTCGATGCTAAAACACCGGATGTTCAACAGGAGGACGCAAGTGCAAGCGATAGAGAGACCCCTAAGCTTCTTCTCTTCTCCGGGTTCGACCAGGACGCGCCTAAGCGGATCTCGGCTGAACTTCTCCAGTACATCAAGCACCATGCCCATTCCTCAAACCGAGATCAGACCCAGACACTCCGCGACGTGGCGTTCACGCTCTCGGAGAGAAGGTCCCACTTTCGATGGAACAGTTACCTGCTCGCAGGGTCACTGAAGGAACTTGAAGCGCAGTTGGAATCAGACACAGGCCTCCCACCTGCGATCAGCGCACAGAAACCACCGAAGATTGGCTTTATCTTCACCGGACAGGGTGCCCAGTACCCCGGGATGGGCCAGCAACTGTTGCCGTTCTCCGTGTTTCGGGAATCTCTCAACTCTGCCACCGCGTACCTAAAGTCGTCACTTGGCTGTGAATGGTCAATCATTGGTAAGCTTCATAGCCTATATCCAGACACGCAGTCAACTAACTATCTGCATCAGATGAAATCCTCAAGGATAAAGCTGACTCGAGAATGCACGAGGCTGTCATATCCCAAGGTTGTTGCACAGCCATTCAGGTGGCCTTGGTCGATCTATTGCACAGTTGGAATATCCATCCCGTTAGCGTTGTTGGGCATTCCTCTGGAGAAATAGCAGCTGCCTACTGCGCCGGGAAGATTTCCCGCGAGGCTGCATGGCATGTCGCATATGAACGCGGACGTCTGACCTCACATATCCCCAGGAAGACGAAAGGGGCGATGCTTGCCGTTGGATTGGACGGTGTGACCCTGCAGGCGTATCTGGAACAAATCCACGACAAGATGTCTGGAGATTTGGTGGTAGCGTGTTTTAACAGTCCCAAAAACCACACTGTTTCCGGAGACGAGACCTTGATAACTGCCCTGCAGAGCACGTTGGAGGAGAAAGGCGTATTTGCCCGTCGACTGAAAACCCCCAGTGCTTATCACTCCCCTCATATGTTAGATATTGCCGAAGGTTATGCGAATGCTCTGCGGGAAGCTCCGCAAGGATCCTACCTAAGCCAGAACGCAAGTGTCCGTATGTTGTCTACCTCAGCTGGGAGTGAGGTGATGGACGACCGAATCCAGAGCGAATATTGGGTGAACAACCTGATTTCTGCGGTGAAGTTCACAACAGCACTACAATCCATGTGTCTCGCCCGTGATGGGTCTGCTCCCGATGAAGTCCTGGAGCTTGGGCCTCACGGCGCGCTTCAAAGTGCAGTGAAGGAAACCCTGATGGGACAGGGATCAATTGCATATCGAGCGACTATGAATCGCAACGATAATACGGCAAAGACTATGTTGCACACGATTGGGGCACTGGCCGTCCGTGGAGTACAGGTCAACTTGTGTAGGGTGAATTTAGGCAGTGAAGCCGCCCAGCGAAGCCCAAAATTGCTGGTAGACTTCCCACCTTACCCGTTCAAGCATGAGGAGAAAAGTCTCTATGAGAGCCGACTCACTCGTGCTATACGTTTCAGACCCTTGCCCCAGCATGACCTGCTGGGCGCACCATCTCCAGATTCCAGCCCGCTACGGTGGTCCTGGAAACATTATCTCCGGGTGACCGAGATGCCGTGGCTGAGAGACCATGTGGTAAGTCCTCTTCCTAGTGGGCCCGTTTAGTATCCATGTCTAAGTATTGTGAAGGTTGCCGAGAACATAGTCTTTCCCGGTGCAGGCTATATCGTGATGGCCATCGAGGCTACCCGACAAATCATGAACGGTGTCCCCCTCAACGGATTCCATGTCCGAGATGTAGCGCTGAAATCAATGCTGATTGTCCCTGATAACAAAGATGGGGTGGAAACCTTCTTCTCCCTGTCGCCAATGGATGAATCCAACGTATCGACATCCTCCATCTGGAACAAGTTCACGGTCAGTTCATACGACTTTGACAATGACGAATGGACCGAAAACTGTTCAGGCTACGTATCCGCGGAGTTGAAAGGCTCACCTAGCCCCGTCACTCGCGGCCGCGAAGATACATACAAGCTTGAGACCTGGGACCTGGCGCAGAAACAAGCGGATCTGTGTCGGAGGCCCATGGATTTTGTCAGAGTATGCGATAATCTGGATTCAGTTGGCATCAAGTTCGGCCCGCTGTTCCGCAATATGTCAGACGTGAAGATTGGAGGCCAGGGTGCTGGAGTTATGGCCGGCAAGATCAACATCCCTGATGTTGCTGTGGCCATGCCAAAGGGCTATACTCACCCGCATTTGATCCATCCGGCTACGCTCGACGCAACGCTCCAGGCTGGGATCGCGGCCATCTGTGACTACACTGGCAATGGTTTGCTAAGACGAGGCAGCGTCCCGGCGTTTATCAAAGACCTGTGGATATCGGCTTCTATGCCAGCTCAAGGGAGCCTGCAATGTTCCGGTAACGCGTCTTTACTGGCTCATGATACGTATACCTTCGACGGAAGGGTGTGGGATCTAGATGGGAAGACCGGCCTTATCACATTGGCAGGAGTTCGCTTAACACCCTTCCAGTCGAAGACAGACAATGCCAATGAGAAGCAGCTGTGCCACTCTATCAAATGGGGTGCCGACGCAAGCTTTGCCTCCAACTTGGTGTTGGGCCAGCCGAACCCGGATCTGTCGGTTTACGAGAGCGAAAAGCTCTGGTTCACTGAACTCCAGCTGGCAGCTACCCTCTTAGCCGCCGATGCCCTAACAGATTTAAAGACATATAAATTACCTGAAACAACACCCAGCCACCTGCTAAAGTTTCATGAGCTGATAAAGCGCATGGTCGCGGATGTTGCTAGTGGCTCGATACCTCACGTCACATTCGAGCAGTGGCAAAAATACGCCAACGACCGTCTACTGAAACGCGAGCTTTATGACCGAGTCGCGGGTCGCGATCTGAACGGGGCTGTTTTAGTGCGAATGGGGTCTTGTATCGCATCCTTCTTGCAAGAGCAATCGGACCCTTTGTACGTCATGTTTGGACAGGACGACCTGATGGCCCGATACTACGACTCGGACATGGAAATGGGGCCGATCCCCGAGCAGTTCGAGCAGCTGATGTCTTCCATGCGATTCACATTTTCCAATCTCAAGGTCTTAGAGGTTGGCGCAGGTACTGGCGGATTCACGTCCCGCGTTTTGAAGTCCCTACACCCTGTGAACGCGGATGGCGAGATAGAAGGGAACTGTATTGCCTCCTACGACTTCACAGATGTATCCCCGAGCTTCTTTGAGAAAGCCAAGGATCGTCTCGCGGAGTGGAGTCGCATACTCAATTATAAAAAGTTGGATCTCGGGGTTGATCCCGTCTCTCAGGGCTTCACAGCGGCATCCTACGACATGATTGTTGCGAGCAATGTCCTTCATGCGACTGCCAACATTCAGCAAACTCTAAAAAACATGCATCACCTGTTGAGGCCCGGTGGCAAGCTGCTGTTCCTCGAAGGCGTCCGGCAGGAAACCGTCTACAGCAACATCTCCTTCAGTGCGCTGCCTGGGTGGTGGCTTGGCCAGGAGCGGGAAAGGGAGTGGTGCCCCTATATCTCCAAAGAACAGTGGCATACTTATCTGTGCGGTTCAGGATTCTCGGGCGTAGATGTCAGCATTTCGAGCTCGCACTATCCAGAGTTCAATAAGCTCGGAATCATGCTCTCAACTGCCGTCCAGCCACCTTTGATGGCCAACAGCTCCACAGTCATGATAATTTGTACGGAGCCGGAGGGTGGAAGTGTTGGGGCCTTACTACAGGACTATTTCAACAAACAAACGGGCATTCCCAATTGTGCTATGCTTCACCCTAGCCAGCTTCTCGATACTAACCTCAACGGGGTCGTGTGCATTTCCCTCCTGGAGCTCTACTCGCCGATCCTCGGGGATTTGGATGAAAATAGCTTTGCACAAGTGAAACATATTTTGTCAACCTGCGCCCGGATGATATGGGTCACAGGAGCAGAAGACCCGAGAAATAGCATGGCTGCTGGTTTAATACGGACCCTGCGGTGGGAGCGTGATTCTCAGGATCTCAACCTGGTCACAGTAGCGGTTGACGCTCAAGGAAGCCCTGCAGACCAGATACTTCGCGCTATATCCGATATATATCAATATCAATTCATCAACGTGGGTGGGCGAATAGAGCGTGTGAATGCGGAGTATAAACTTGTCGATGGCCAGATCCACACGAACCGGGTCGTTGACAATGTCGACGCCACCGAAGCGATCTCCTCCCAGTTCTCAGAGCCTGAGCCAGTACCCTCCAAATGGCCGGGCATGGTACGACCTATTAAACTTCAAATAGGCCAGCCTGGGGGCCTGGACAGCCTACACTGGGTGACTGACGGCGACATGTCACAGCCCCTCAACCCTTCGGATATCGAGGTCGAAATCCGCGCTGTTGGGATCAACTTCCGGGATCTATTGACGGTGATGGGCGAGCTCCCACAGGCAACTATTGGCGGCGAAGCAGCTGGCGTGATTACGCGAGTCGGCTCAGCGGTCGGTAAGTTCAATGTAGGAGACCGAGTTGCATACTTTGGCGACCCTCGCTACGTGGGTGCTTTCCGGACATTGGGCAGAGCCGATGAAAGCCTGGCCATGCGGATTCCGGACGAATTCGACTTCGAACAGGCAGCTAGTATGCCTGTTATCTACACGACCGTGATATACTCTCTGAAGAACGTTGTCAGGTTAGAAGAAGGAGAGTCCGTCCTTATACATGCAGGCGCCGGCGGCGTGGGCCAGGCGGCCATACAATACGCACAATTCGTCGGCGCAGAGGTGTTTACCACCGTCTCCACTGCGGAGAAGAAGGAGCTCCTTATGAAGGAGTACAATATTCCAGAAGACCATATCTTCTCCAGTCGTGACATGGCATTCGCTGCAGGTATCAAAAAGCTGGCACCGGGCGGTGTTGATGTAATTCTCAACTCTCTTTCCGGGGAGGCTCTTCGTCAGTCATGGGACTGCATTGCTCCGTTTGGCAGATTCATTGAAATTGGAAAGCGGGATATCCAAACTGGTGGAAAGCTCGATATGGAGCCATTCTTAAAGAATGCGGTCTTTGCGAGCGTAGACTTGCTCACCGTTGCCAAACATCGGCCCCAAGTATTTGTGAAGCTCTATGATGAGCTAGGAAAGTTATGGAGCGAGGGCAAGATTCGGCAGCCTCAGCCAGTGACTAAATACACGTATAGCAATATCCAAGCAGGACTACGCTCGCTTCAGCTCGGGCAGAGTGTGGGAAAGATTGTTTGCGTGCCGAGTGATGAGCAGATTCCTGTCTTGCCAGAGCCAGAGAGTCCGTTTGAACTGGACTCCAACGGATCGTACATCCTGGCGGGTGGACTTGGAGGCATCGGACGCAGCATTGCTTACTGGATGGCGTCTAAAGGCGGGAAACACCTTATCTTCTTGAGCCGCTCTCATGGACTGAGCTCAGCAGCGGGAGAGATGATATCCACGCTACAGAGCATGGACTGCCAGCCCCATGTCTTCTGCTGCGATATCGCAGATGAACAGAGGCTAGGGGCCACGGTGAAGGAAATCCAAGCGAACTACCCTCCTATACGCGGATGTATCAACTGCTCGGTATCTTGGGCAGATAGTGCATTTGAAAATATGACCTATAACGAATGGCGCACGTCCATAAAGTCAAAGGTTAACGGATCCTGGAATCTCCACAGCATTCTACCGTCTAAAGACCTCCAATTTTTCGTTATGCTATCCTCTGTTGCCGGCGTGGTTGGCAACCGAAGTCAAGCCAACTACAACGCGGGCAATACATTCCAGGATGCCCTAGCGAGACACCGTATATCGCGCGGGCTTCCCGGTGCAAGCGTCGATCTTGGAGCTGTTGTGTCCGTTGGCTTCATGGCTGAAAACAAGGAATACGTCAGGCATACCATGAAAATCGCCAACCATCACCGTGAGGATCAAATGCTCGCCATAATCGATTACCTCCTCGATCCTCGACGCGTGCTAACAGAGACGACTTGCCAGTTGGTCTGCGGCCTGTCCACCCAGTCAGATTATGAGAAACGAGGCATCCCGGCCCCAAGGCATCTCCAGTACCCAATGTTCATGCACTTACAAGGTACTATTTCTAATGAGGAGGTGCAAGGTTCCAAGACGGATCAGTACCATGTCCAAGCCTTGCTAGCAGCCGCGCGCACCGAGGTCGAAGCGGCGGATGTTGTTTTGAACGGCATTCGGAAGAGGCTATCAACAATTCTTAGCGTGTCTGAAAGTGACATTGATCCGTCCTGCTCGATCCGTGAAAACGGAGTGGATTCGTTGATTGAAATGGAATTCCGGACGTGGGTGTCGAAGGACCTGGGGGCAACCATAGCTAAGGGAGATATGAGCACGAAGAGTGTCGCCGAGTTGAGCGTGAAGATAGCAGGATCCAGTGCGTTCACCCACTTTAAAGGTTGAGATCTATGGTGTTATGTGCTTGTGAACATAGGGTGATAAACAAAGAAGACGTTTCAGAAGGTTGATTGATTCCTACCAAGTAACCGAGTACTATGCGGTAGTTGGAAAACTTTTAACTAGCCAAGAAAAGGACATCTATCATGCAACATAAGGGCATTGAGACCGGGACGCCAGAAACCGTATTCTAAAGAAATCGAAAGGTATCATCACAATTCGTTGAAGCATTACGCCCGTCCAGAAGCTTTTCCTGGCATCTTGGCGGGACCCAATCCTTGTCGGATCTCGTCCAACATTCTGATTCCAATTGCTTCGTTACCATTCTTGCCTCTCTTTGCCTTGGCACCCTTTCGCTTCACTTGAGCGCCTGTGTTGCCATCCCAGCCTGCAAGGAAATCATCCATGACCTCGTTGAAATCATGGCGGGGGGCCACAGCCACTCCGTTCGCGTCGATCAGGCTGGGGGCCTGCGATGACGCGGTCGAGAAGCCGGTCATGCCGGTCATACCGGTCATACCGCTGACCATGGACATGCTATCATCGTACTCATCTTCCTCGTCCAGAGCGTAGAGTGCCTCCACCCGGTCAAACCGGTCATCCAACAGCCGATGGCCTTCCGTCCGGGCCAGAGCGGAAGAAGTCATGGAGTAGGCCGAAGGGTTGGTAAGTGCACCTTTACGCTTCTTTCTGCGGATGGGGGTACCGCCTACTGTGAAGACCGTGGAGGCAAGGGTGCTTTGTTGCTCTGAGGGCATAATACTGGGCGGTGCTGCCGGCGCAGGCTTCACTTTACCCTCCTTTTTGAACTTAGCAAACTCGCGCATCCATCCTTGGTCCTCGGGGTGCAAATCTGGAGCTGGCGCATCGTGATCGGGCAGTTCACCTGAATCAGCGTCCTGGTGTTCATTCTGGGCAAATTCGCTCCTCTGCGGTGGTTTGTAGTCGGTTTTGCTGGGCTGCACAGGGGCCTTCTCAGTGGCATCAGACTCCCATCCGTCATCATCTTCCTCGTCAAACAACGTGTCCTCCCAATCACCCTGGTCAATCTCCTCCGCCTGAGAAGTTAATTTGCCAAACACATCGTCCTCGTCGTTTTCGTCAACAAATTCCTCATCCTCAAGAGCCTCCAATACTTCCCGCAAACGGGGATCCATATCAGGCTGGAATCCCGCAATCGCATCGGGCACATTTTGCTGGTCCTGGTAGGTCGGTTGCCGGACATAGGATGAGGCAGTCGAACGCATATCAGATCCATAGACGCTTCCGGGCCCATACTCGCTTCTCGCATCGTCCAGAGTGACTTGTCGCAGAGCATCTTCCAGCTTCATGCCCTTAGCTTTGCCCTTGTCCTTGCTCTTGGCCTCCACAAAATACGAATCGCCGGCGCCGGTGCCCAGCTCGCGCAAATGTTGCATGTAATCATATTTGGAGTCATCGTAGAAAATACCGTAGTTCGCAGCTTCACCTTCGTTTCTCCGGACGGGCTCGGTCCCAAATTCACTGGCTAGATCCGAGAGCTTCTTGCCGCGGGCTTCGAATGTAGAGCTACCTGCTGCTGGGCCTGACACGGGGGCCAGAACACGGTCATCGGCTGAGGCGTCGTGGATCAGGGGGTCATTTTGGGATCGGTGGAAGAGTTGGTATGTGGTTGCATTCTTTTTATCGCTATTTGAATTCTGTTAGCCACTGGACGTTAAATGAGCCCGGTGTGGAAAGCCACATACATCCACTGCTTGCGGGGAGGCATTTTGGCGATTTCGATCGGTGTGAACAGCAGGAAATCAGATTTTCAGCCTTAGTGGGTTGATATTGTATGGACCTTGGGAGCAAAAAAATTGTCAAAGTGGGATGTGATAGCGTCACGTGAGAGCTTATCGGGGTGCCCAACTGGTCGTCCTCAGGCAGCGACGTGGGGGATGGAGAGGACCTGGCACGACACGAATCAATTGGTACATGATTAGTCCTGGCTATCGACTCTCTCCTGCGCAGTATCATGCTTATGCGGTATATATTTACTGACATGCTTCTCTTGTTTCAATCAACAACAAGGGAAAAAAAGTGCTGAGTCAGCCATTCTTATCTTATCGACGGGGCTTGCCTGATTGGGCGATGGATCATCGCCAAATGGAACAAAATTAATAATTCTCTCCGTCGCTTTGCCTCTTCTTCGCATTTCCCCTCCATATCCCCTCCTTTTTCCTCTTTTTCCCTTCCACTCCACCATCGGAAGGTTTTATTTCAATTTTGGTGTACTGTAAGTCGAGTCACTTCACCACACAGTCACCATGGTTCTCGCAAAGTCCAAAAACTCCGTGGGGCTGGGCAACAGCCTCATGAAGGATCGTTTCGGAAAGGGAAAAGCGTCGAACATGAAGAAAGCCTCGCACAATCAAGCCGTCGCACGGAAGGACATGAACGGAGAGACATACATCACCAATGCCAAGGAGGATGCTGCCTGGGTGAAGATGCGCAGTATCACGGAACAAGCCGCTCTAGACGAGTTCCTGAGCACCGCTGAACTGGCGGGCACCGATTTTACCGCCGAGAAGATGAACAATGTTAAGATTATTCACGCCGATCAGAAGAACCCTTATCTCCTGTCCGCCTCCGAGGAGAAATCGGCGGTGAAGAAGCACCAGAAGAACAGAGGACGACTGACTGTTCCGAGACGACCGAAGTGGGATTCGACGACGACGCGGCAACAGCTCGATGTTATGGAGAGAGAGAGTTTCTTGAGCTGGCGCAGAGGCCTGGCTGAGCTCCAGGAGAATCACGATCTGTTGATGACACCGTTTGAGCGGAACTTGGAAGTCTGGCGACAGCTTTGGCGTGTCATTGAACGGTCTGATCTAGTCGTGCAAATTGTCGATGCTCGGAACCCGTTACATTTCCGGTCGGAGGATCTTGAGTCTTACGTGAAGGAGATTGATCCCAAGAAAGAGAACCTTCTACTCGTCAACAAGGCAGATATGCTTACTGAGAAGCAACGAGAAGCCTGGGCAGACTACTTCGAGCGTAATAACATCAGCTTCCGGTTCTTTTCGGCCCAGCTAGCGAAGGAGAAAATTGAAGCAGAGCTTGCGGAGCAAGGCGACAGCGACGATGAAGAGGTGGCGGAGAAGCTAGCGGAGACAACAATCGAAGAACAGCCGACTGAGGCGCCACAGGAGGAGCATGATGGAGGATTGAAACTTCCCGGCTCGAGCAAATCCCGGAGGACGGAAATTCTCGACGTTGATGAACTCGAAGAACTCTTCCTTTCCAACACGCCCGATACTCTTCCCGAAAACGACGACCCAGAGAACCCGCGCAAGCACAAGACCGTCATTGGTCTTGTCGGTTACCCTAACGTCGGTAAATCCAGTACAATCAACGCCCTTCTCGGAGCCAAGAAGGTCTCCGTTTCCGCTACGCCCGGTAAGACGAAGCACTTCCAGACTCTTTACCTCTCGCCGGAGATCATGCTCTGTGATTGCCCCGGTCTGGTTTTCCCCAACTTCGCCACGACCAAGGCCGACCTGGTTGTCAACGGTGTCCTGCCCATCGACCAGCAGCGTGAATTCACCGGCCCAGCAACCATCATCGCCCAGCGCGTTCCCAAGCATTTCCTTGAGAACGTCTACGGAGTCACCATCCATACCCGCCCCATCGAAGAAGGCGGCACAGGCATCCCCACCGGCAGCGAGCTTCTGCGCGCCTATGCCCGCGCCCGTGGCTTTTCCACTCAAGGTCTGGGCCAGCCTGATGAATCCCGCGCTGCCCGATACGTCCTGAAGGACTACGTCAATGGCAAACTCCTCTTCTGCCACCCACCCCCAGTGCCAGAGGGCCAAACTCCCCTTGACCCCAATGAGTTCAACGTCGAACTCTACGACATGGCCCACCTCCCCGCGAGGCGACAAGAACAGCTCGCCAAGACGATGCAAGCAGAGCAAACGGCTGAGGACCTCGACGCCGACATCCTCTCTCTGCCCAAGCAACCCGTACAAGGCACCCGCTCCCGCAACCTCGATACCGGCTTCTTCGGCGACGCCTCGAAGGGTTCCGCCGGCCGTCTCACCCTCCCCTTCAACGCCCCGTACACCGAACAAGGCCAGCAGATGCGCCAACAGCTGACCGGCCGTAAGGAGCGGCTGATGGTCGCCCTGGAACGCGGAATCGACGTGACCGAGGTCCGAGGCAGTAGCTCCAAGAAGCATTTCAAGGGCAACAAGAAGCAGGCGAAGAAGAAGCGCGCCGTTACTGAGGATGATGATTACTGATCCATCTCTGATCTGACTCGCGGGCGAGTGGGTTCATGTTTGCCTGTGGTTAATGAATAGGTTCGGGTTACGCTTTGGTTTGGTTGCATTTAGAAAAGTTCTTATGATCTCGGTTTCCTTTTTATGTATGTAGGGTTGGTGTTGATGTTGATGTTGATGTTCATGAATCATGACCGTTCATATTAAATGAAATCAATTTCACCGTGATAATCTTCCAGATACGTAATTTATTCATTCTGTGTGGAGTAGTAATTGTTTCTATCCAAGTATTCGCTGCAGACAAATGAAATCATCCCATTTACAAATGACTCTTCAGCTTAAGCCCACTAGCAGCCAACAATCGCTCCCCCTCAGCCCGCTGCCAGTTCAACTTCTCAATAACAGCATCCTTGCGGACCCGGTTCTCCCTCTTGCCGAGCTGCTGCAAGTGCACCTCATCCGGACCATCGGCAATCCGCAACGTCCGGATCATGGCCCACAGGTTCGCCAACGGCGTATCCTGGCACACACCGGCGGCACCATACGCCTGCACGGCACGGTCAATGACCGTCAGCGCGGTCTGCGGAACGAGTACCTTCGCCTGGGCAATCTCCTTGAGGGCAGACTTGGCGTCACCCTGGTCGATCTTGATCGCGGCATTCAGGACAATGAGTCTAGCGGCGTCGACCTCAATCCGGGACTTCGCCAGCCACTCGAGGATGACACCATGGGAAGACAAACTCTTACCAAAGGTCTGCTTACGATCGTCGTTGATCCGTGCGATGAGCCACTCGATCGCCTTCTCAGCGGCCCCGATCGTGCGCATCGCATGGTGGATGCGGCCGGGACCCAGACGGCCCTGGATGATTTCGAAGCCACGGCCTTCGCCGAGGACAATGTTGGAGACGGGGACGCGCACATCCTTGAAGCTAATGTGGCCGTGTCCATGGGGGGCATCGTCGTAGCCATAGACCGAAAGCATACGGTGCACGGTGATTCCGGGGGTGTCGGCGGGCACGAGGATGACGGATTGTTGGCGGTAGGGGTCCTTGTTGGTTGGGTCCGATTTGCCCATTACGAGGTAGATACTGCAGCGGGGGTCACCTGCGCCAGAGGACCACCATTTCTAGAGAGTCTTGTTAGTGATTCGAGTCGTAGGTTGGTGGTATACGTGACCCCGGAGGGGGGGACTGACTGATCCATTGAGGACATATTGGTTGCCCTCGCGGCGGATGTTCAACTGGATGTTCGTCGCATCGCTAGAGGCCACCTCGGGCTCTGTCATGAGGAAGGCCGAGCGAATTTTGCCGTCCAGCAAGGGTGCCAGCCACTGCTGCTTCTGTGCTTCGTTGCCATACTTGGCGATGACTTCCATGTTGCCAGTGTCTGGGGCGGCGTTATTCGTAGCCTATAGTAGTGATCGCCTCTCATCAGCACGTTGTCGCGCGGATAATCCCTTCGTAGAGAAGGAGGGGTTGTTGGGGGGGAATCTATACCTCGGAGGCCAACTTGCTCTTACCCAAATACTCGGCCATCAGACCGTATTCGAGGTTGCTGAATCCAGCGCCCTGGGAGAAGTGGTTCTTGGGCAGGAACATGTTCCACAGGCCTTGCTGGCGCGCTTGGTCTTGAGGTCTTCCATGACGGCTGGGTAGGTGGCCCATCGTTGATCACCTTCACCCAGCTGGGCCTGGAAGAGCTTTTCGGCGGGAATACATTCTTTTTCGACGAATTGTTCGACCTAGATGGGTGTTGCGAGATGAGTATTAAGCTTGAAACGAGGATGGCCCGAGAGGGTTGGAGATGGTATACCTGGTCCAGAGTCTTCTTGGCCCGTTCACTGACGAACGGTTGGGCAATTGGGGGAATTCGTGCAGAGGCAGACATGATGTTTTTGCTGTTTTACTATGAAATCAAGCTTCAAAGATATATGGGGTAGGAGAATGATCCAGAGAGAAAAGACCAGTCGGGACAGAGATTATAAAGGAATGAGAAGCGTCAATCATACGAGTAGTTGTGAATTGCGGAGAAGCTGTGGAGCGGAGAAGATGCCGAACTTTGGCGGTTGGACCTCGGCTCAGAACCGAATATCTAATCCTGCGCACCCAGCGTATGGAGTTACATATAAATACAAGCAAGGGCAGCTACACAGCACCGTCATCCGGAACATCTCAATCATTCTTCTGACTCATCACATCACATTTCATCGGGCTTCATCCGTCAAAGTCCCTTACGCAATTAAAACCAATTTATGACCGTAACAATGACACAGTAGTCCCAAGCCATCCCAAGACCCTTAATTCCCAAAAAATAATAAACCCCAATTGCCCAGAGAGAGAAAATCAAGTAGAAGAGAAATCAAGAACCAGTCCTGCAAACACCGAACCGAGCGAGAAACAACCGACAACCTTATCCAGGTATCATCCACACAAGACCCATGCGGCCGGCGCATGAGGTGCAAGGGATTCTGGAACGTCGATTACTTCGGCATCTCGGCCTCATTGCTGGCATTATGGTTTGCAGCAGATTGCTCGAAGTTCTTCTTGCCCAGCTTGGCGAATAGTGATTGGGGCTTGCCAGCGCTGCAGCACAGGTCATTCATGTCAGCATATCAGATTCACCAAATCCAACATCGAAACAGGAAACAGTAGATGACCAGAGGCAATAAGGCAGTGGACGTACTTCTTGAAGCGCTTGCCCTTCAAGTCGCTCAGTTTCTTGGAGCATGGGCTCATAATGTCATCCGAGGGCGATACATAGCTAGCCTGTTGCCTGGAACGCGTGTTAGTCTATCACCTCTTCCCGTGCAACGATCCAATCCAATCCACTCACTTGTCTCCGCTCTCCAACTTGCCCTGGAGTACTTGTCGGTGGTATTCCATTGATTCGATCTTGGCGGGGGCAGCCTTGAGCTCGTTGGCCTTCTCGGTGTTGACCAGATGAGTGTTGGTAGAGCGATCAGCAAGAGGATGCGAAGGAGACTCCATTGTAGTTGTGTGAAGTAGAGATTATTCGTTTATGTTTCTGTGGAACAGACAGCGAGAATGGTTTCTGTAGCTTCGTCTTGAGGTGGATTTTGAATGGTTTCAGCGAGGGATGAAATTGGATAAGAAGCGGAAGAAATTGGCTGCAAAAGCGAAAAAGCCGCGTTGTTGATTGTTGTCATGGCAACCGCCCGAATTTTACATCATCTTCATTTCTCCCTCTACACAGTACACATCCGTATCATATCTCCGTTCATTGCTTCGTTCAGTCATTAGGATCATTAGCTGTGTTCCTCTAATTACAGGAGTTTCTCACTCATTACAGTTTCACCGTCCACCGGAGAATGAACATACACCCCGTTCTTGTCCTATAATACAACCACATTAGTTCTCTCCGCCACTGTTACGGGCGCCCATCATTCCAAGCGACCATTGCCCATGCCGATAAACAATCATACTTCAAGAGGCAAATTCCTCAAAGAAAGAGGGCTTCCATATCTCCCGGACAACCGTCACACCGGCAGCAGGCCAGCTGTTCCGCCAAGGAATAAATAGTCACTCGAGAACTAAATCAATTTCTCCCGGGTGACGTCAGTGACATGGGCCGGTGAACAATGACCGTCGGAGATGACGCGACTCGGATACCGTAGGGTCACGTAGAATGTCATCAATTAAGAAAAAAAAAAGTCAAAAGGGCTGGTTGTGTGTACTCAGCGCATATTCATCCTTGTTGTCGCATGCTGCTGTTGCTCGCCAAAATCGGCTCGCTGCTCTCAGTAGAACCTGGGGAGTCATAGTCGGAAGAACCCCGTGATTCATACGATATCGGGCTCTCTTCGCTCGGACTTTCCTCATCGGCGGGGTTGAGTACCGGGGGACTGCTGTGCGACCGGAAGTGGGGCGGTGCTAGGTCCGGCATGTTGACAGTATCTAGACAAGGAGCTGGCCCTTTGTCCACCTCGTCAGGGCTAGACGGGTCGGACGTAGGTGTCGGGGGGGAATATGCAACGGTCGGACTGAGTGGTTCTTCCTGTGAGTCTTCCGACATATTCCGCCGATGGCGCCCCGTGGGCCGGTATGACGACGTAGGTCGCGTCGAACTTGGGCTTGCCGAAGGAGAGCCGAAAAATATTGGCGACGATGAGCGCAGGCTATAGGAGCGATTCATCATATTCTGCACACGCGGAATATCAATGTACGTGCCCACCGGAACGCGCGAAAAGAGGACAAGAGCGAAGCAGAAGAGAATCATGATACTCTGAATCACGGACACTCGCTTCTGAAACACCAACTCATCGGCTAGAACCCCGAGCTGGGCACTGATCGAGTGGATCTCTTGATGGTACTGGATGCGCTGGTGCTCGAATTCCAGGGCAACGCTTTTCCATACCTGATCGTATTGTTCACGGAACTGCCTCAGCTCGTTCAAAACAGTCACATTCAAGTTCTCCAAGAACGTGGAGGTTTTGGCCAGCTGGCGTTTCTCAACCTTGCTAAACGCATCCCGTAGGATCCGAGACTGCTCTTCAATATACAACAACGATAGAGTCGAGTTGGACTCTAGCATCTGGAGCCGTTTATTGACGGACTTGAAGAAAGACTCTTGGGTGGTAGGGTTCGACGACGGTGGCTGCGTCCCAGAAGGCCGCACCGATTCCGAGGGTATGCTGGACTCTTCCTTAGGGGAACTGGCCGACTTAATGTCGGACTCATGTGCCGCATCCTGTCGCACCGTTTCTGTACCTTGTGTCATAGAGGAGGCCGAATCTGGACTCGCACCGGGAGGCCCCGTTACTTTCTGAGCGCCCACCGAGCCCTTATCCGAGGGGTCAACCTGAGACACAGGCGCGGAAGCTTCTGTACTTGGAGTAGCTTCTTCATTCGCCTTTGGGCGGCCCTCGGTCGACTGGTTCACCGCATCATGCCCGGCTCCAGTCGGTGCGGTACGTATATCACAAGTATCCACGGGGGTGGAAACGCCCTGCTGTAGAAGTGTGATAACCTCCATACCCTGATAGGAACAGGATCCCTGCGCCTCGATGATAACTGTTGGCTCGTTGGCAGGTTCATCAGGGACGGCCACAGTAGCTGGAGGCTGCTGTGCGACGTCTCTCACTTCAGGCTTGACAGGGAGGGGACTCGGCTCCAGCGCCTCTGCAGCGACCTCCTCGTCGGCACGATTAGTCTCACCGTCGTGTTTATATTCTTCCAGCATGGTCGTTCCATGGATTCTGACCAAACTGAGAGGGCAGTAGAACTCATTCCCATAGTGTGTCAAGAACTCAATTTTCACATATCGAGCCCAAATGAGCGGATTTTCGACTGCAAAGGCTTGAATCTCGCGGGTATTACGCGCTTCGTAGACACCTAATTCCCTCCATTGGTCGGTCTTGGCCGGATACCGATCAGCGACGCTCACACGGAAGGTATGGAAGATAGAACTGAAGAACTCGTAGTTGGCAAGAACGACAGTATCAACCAGAATGTCGTCGCACAATTCCAGAATGAGAAATTTGTTCTTTGCGCGGCATTCATTGAGCATATAGCTATCCTTGTTCTCAACTAAGACCGATGATGACCCTTTACATTCAGGATTCGTCTTCAGCACGGTTGCTGCACAATCAAATGATGCATAATTGAACCGTTCCTTGCAAGTCGTGCCGGCATCCTTCCCACGCGAGGCAGCCTTCCGCAGATCGGCAGACATAGAGGTCTCCGCATCTCCTGCGCCAGTCACAGCACCCGCACCAGTTATACCGGCTGTAGGCAGACTTGCTCCCCAAGATGTAGGCTTCGCCGCGTCGGACGCATCAGCGCCGAAACCACCAAAGTCAAGCTCAATCTCAGCATCCTCTCCCAACGAATCCAAAGCATTATTGATCCCCGTGGGCCTCCGCCGGTCGTCTTTCCCACCCGCGTGCCTGTGTCCGCGGACATTCTCTGCCGACTGGCCCACCTTCGCCAGGTTTTGCTTTTTCCAATCTTCGAACGAGAGGAAGTTTGAGTTGTCGAGTGGAGAGTCAGTGTCAAGTTCATGGTCAGGTTGTCCACTAGGGGCAGGAATTGTAGTTGTACTCGACGCTCCCTCCGAAATGGTCACCGAAAGGATCTGGTCAGGGGATCTCGTCGCGTCCTGAGTGATCCTGGGGGCGGTTCGCTCCCATTGCGATTCGACACAGACGGGCCATTGAATAAAATCCGCTTCCACCTCGTTCCAGTGCCTTGCTAGGCATATCGCTTCCTTACTCTCAGCTGCAGCACCCGGGATCCCAGGGAGGATCAACGCTGTCGTCAGGGATGTCCATGCCGCTGCTGCCCACGTGGGGACCACCATCGCGCACACTTGTAGTTTGATCGTTGTTTCGATAGTACGACGGGTGAGTCACGGCGTTTAGTTGGCTATACTGGTAATGAGTTGCGGATGCATGGTCCGGGCGATATTACAACTGTGGCAATTTCCTATCGTCAACTGAGCGCAAGGAAAGGTAAAAAAGTCCCGAGCGTATCGGCGTTAATCTTAGATCCTGTGTCCGGACGGTGGGGAGGCAAAAGGACAACTGGCAATTGCACAAGGGACTTGGAATACCAAGCAGGTTATCCCGTGCATTCGCAAGGTCGAATACAACAATACAAAAGAAAAATCCTGTCGAGAGAGATGTTGGAGAAGCATGAGAAGTGACATCTGCGCATCGGCGGTCTGTCTGTAGCGCTCGTGACCGCCTCGCGTCACCGCCGATCGTTGGGGGAATGAAATTACACTAATTGTACGGAGTACTACGATCACACGAGGTCCACCTCGTCCGAGTACACTGGAACTGACATGAAATCGCTACTACGAACACCCGTAACAGATAAGTCCACGAGAATCACTTTTGGGTTTGTATTTCCACCATGATGTAGATC